ATTTTGAGTTTTGACTGAAGTGGAACTACTCAGAGAAGAAACAAGCTAAGGAGGATGACAATAGGGCTCTCATTCCTCAGTTAGTGGCTGCAAGTCCCCAGCCTGCTTGTTCCCAGGATTGCTCCCCAGGCTACTACCTGGATATTTAAGCACTGTTTTGGGGGGTAGAGGGGCTGGAGAAGAGCAGCTGCTGAGTGCTTGGCTTCCTGGGGAATAAAATGAGAAAAAGTGAAAGGGTCCTAGGGCCTCCAGCTCTAGGGGAGTTAGCCTCTCTCTGAAATGTCCCTCGGAAGTGGGAGAGAGGCATCCCCACCCCACAGCCACCTCTTCCAGATCAGTGGAAGAAAACAGAATTGAGATATGGGCTTAAAGGAACCCTAAACGTAAGGTAGTCATCCCCGAGAGGAAAGGCCGTCTGGGGAAGGCATCCATTCCGGGAGAACGTGGAGAACTAGCCTCACTGATGAATGAGGTGGTGCGCAGGAAGGGGCGCAGTGGAGAGGCAGTGCATGGCTGCAATTAACAATGGCAGTGGTGACGGTAGCCGGAGGCCCAGGTAGCATCAGTGAACGTTTGCTCCACAGTGCCCCCTTCCAAGCTCTTCCCTCCTGCACTGTGCCGAGCATATCTTGAGTTATATCTCTAGCACCCCTGTTCTTTTTTATATAATTTTTTATTAGATTTATTCATTTTATATTACGTGTTTTGCCTGCATGCATGTATTGCTTCACATGCATGCTTAGTGCCTTCAGTGGTCAGAATAGGACATCCGATTCCCAGGAACTGAAGTGTCTTTGTAAAAGGATAAATGCTCTTAGCTGTTGAGCCATCTCTCTGCACTCCACCCCCCACCCCCCCTTAACTTAATCCGTTAGAAAGAAAGAAAAGGCTTAGGTCCTATAGGTATCCTCAGATCCAATGTACATTGCCCGGGTTTGTGACTTCATGTCTAGTCACAAACTAGTTACTTTTCACAAAATAGTTACTTTTCTATCATGATAAGATCCAAGACAACTTAAAAAGAAAATGTTTCATTTGGGTCTATAGCTTCAGTGGGCTAGAGTCCACAGTGGCAGAGCAAGAACAGCTGAGAGCTCACATCTTGATCTGTAAATAAGAGGGAGGGAGGGAGGGAGGGAGGGAGGGAGGGAGGGAGGGAGGGAGGGAGGGAGGGAGAGAGAGAGAGAGAGAGAGAGAGAGAGAGAGAGACTGGGAATGATGGGAGTCTTTTAGAATTTTGAATTCCACCCCCAGCCACACACCTCTTCGACAAGGCCACGCCTCCTATTCCATCCCAAGCACTTCCACCAACTGAGAACCCAATAGAGTCTGGCCTGGAAATATGTATGTAGCAAGAGATGTAAATTCACACAAGCTTTCTCAGTGGGAATGTTCTGTTACCTCAGAAGAAGTCCGAAATCACTTTGTTTTTAGAATGGCAGACAGGAAGAGAGTAGCTAAATATTCTGCAATGCTAATGACTGCATATGGAAGCGCATGGGAATTGGATATGCATATATACATAAAACAATGTTAGTGGAAGAACAGTCGAAAATATCAGTTGATTACAGTTTTGTTAATACAGCTGGACATCCGCAGAGACAGAAATTTTGAGGGACAGGATCCTTCTCTCTAACATTGCTCAGGTCTGTTAAATATTTTCATAGTGAATGAAGAATATAATGTCCCACCAACCCTTTCCAAGCAGGGCAAGTGGAAATAGAATCATGATGGGGGCCTAACTAAGGTCAAGGCCCCTGACCAAAACATATAGAAAGCTTTGCCCATAGAAGGCTACCTGTGCGTCACTTTGGTGTGTGTGTGTGTGTGTGTGTGTGTGTGTGTGTGTGTGTGTGTGTGTGTATGTGTGTGCGTGCGCGCGCGCAAGTGCAAGACTTGCTATCTTTGGTCACAACCCTCATCTCTGCACCCAGAGATACAGCTGTGTCAGGCTTCTATAGGCAGGTCTTCACATGCTAGAGACCCACAGATGGATGCCAGTGAGGGTCTTCCTGCCAGTGTGTTCGTCCTGCCCTGCCTAGCACACATTCCACACATGTTCAAAAGTGTGCTCGCAGATCGCCAATACCGTGCAGCCCCAAGTTCAGGTTCTCCATTTTACACGCTTCTGTAGTTTTTCTCACCTGCCCCCATAGGAATAAGCTCAGAGGACTGAAAAGCTGGCTTCGCATGGGCTACCGTTGCCTACGTACTCCGTTGATTATTCATCAGGTTTTGACAAATATCTCTTATGTGCAACTTGTTCTTTCAAATGGGTATTTAAGGATTTCTGGGGCACCTTGCCTAGCAGGTACGAAGTCCTGGGTGTAATTCCCAGCACCCTGTAAGCTGGGTGTTGTGGCTCAGGTCTATAATTTCAGCACTTGGGAGGTCTAGGTGGAAGATCAGGAATCAAGGTCACTGCAGCCACAAGTACCTGGTGAATCGAGGCTATGAGACACCGTCGCAACAAACCAGAAAGGGGAGGGGGCTTGTGGAGGAAGAAAAACATAAAACCAAGAAAAATCATTGATTTAATGTTTATACCAGTTTAACGGTATGATGTACGGGTCAAGACCATGACCACAACTTCTCTCCGAAGGGGATTTCAGAATCGCCCGTCTTCCTCTCCTCGCCACTCTTGTACATTAATGACAGTTTCTTGTGGTTCATCTTTGCTTACTTCCATCATTTTTTTAAACTTCAATTTTTAATTAATTTTTTTAGATTGTACAAAGTGCAATGAGTATCATATGGCGTTTTTCATGAATGTGTGTGTTTATTTTTTTATTTATATGTTGGTTTTTTTTTTTTTTTTGAGACAGGATTTCTTTGTGTAGCTATGGCTATTCTGGAACTAGCTTTGTAGACCAGGCTGGCCTCGAGCTAACTCTGTAGACCGGCTGGGCTCAAACTTACAGATCTGCCTGCCTCTGCCACCCGAGTGCTGGGGTCAAGCATGTGTCCTACCATGGCCGGCCGCGCGTGTGTGTCTTTATACGTTGTTCCTAATTAATTCCCTCACCCACTACTTCAACAGTTTCTAACCACTAATTTAGAAAAATAAGGATTTTGTCACTCAGTCACCAAAGGCTAATAAATGACATTTCTGTATACCCCAGTCCTCACCAGCTTTGAACAAGTCAGTGAGTGAAGACTAGAGAAAAATAGGAAAGATCTGTGATAGAAATAAAAATCTTATTTTAGAATCAAAATCCCGTGTAAAAGAAGAAGAAGAAGAAGAAGAAGAAGAAGAAGAAGAAGAAGAAGAAGAAGAAGAAGAAGAAGAAAGAAATTGCTCCCACCATGGCCTCAAACCAAGTCCTCCCTGCGAGCCTCACAGATGGGACTAGTCCACTCGTACTGCCTACTTGTAACCTATAGTGTTACGTAAGTGTGTGGAGAACCTTCATGGTCTCCAGCCTTGTTCACAGTACACACCATTTCCTTCCTGAGAAGTAGCTGGGCCCATGGCCAAGGCCCTATTCCTCTCTGAGTCTCCTACAGCCAGTCAGCTGTGGGGGTGTGGGCATGCCTGGCTGCGTCCTGCCTGTCACAGAGGGGTTTTACAGGCCAGTCCGTTTTACAGAGAGCGAGTTCTTTCAAGGACGAGCCTATCCACACGAGGTATTTCAATACGCAATCTGTTATTATTGCTGTGGCATCCAGGAATCAGGAAAGATGAGGAACGGATCTTAGTGTACACTGTATTCAAACTCAAGGAGTGGAAAGAGGCATGAGAACTGTCTAGGGACCCACTTCATTTAGAGGTGAAGACATGGACACCAAGAGTGTCCATGTCAGTGAACACACCCAAACCCACCACAAGGGTATCAGTCGGGACCCAGGGTATGCAGATGAACATGCCCAAACCAGATGATCCTCAAAAACTGCAGCCCCTGACTCCAAATGGTCAATTTGAGAGACCCTGAGAGCCCACTGGCGTGAGAGGTGGTGGAGGAACCCCGAGACAGGTCTTGGCTGGACAGAGGGTGCTGTGATCCACCACATTTCTCTTCTTCCCACCTTTGCCGCAGCCGTGCAGTCTTAACAGATTTCTGAGCTCGGGTTCTTCCCTCCAGGACTTTTATTGCCAATTCGTTTAATTCTTCAGCAAAGATTAATCAACTAATTACCCAAATTAAGGCACAGGAGGGCCAGAGGGGACTTAGGATTTCAGGAACAACTTGTGTGAGTTTGAGATTTCTTTCCCGGAACTGTCTACAAAGCTGTCGGGGACGTGGAAAAGCACTTTTCCAGAGATGCTTACTTTGATCCAACCTGTTACAGCTGTGTCTCAGAATCCAGCTTCTTGCATCTGTCCTGCTCGGGGTCTGCTTCCTGTCTGTCTCTGCCCCGACCTTTAGAATTTCCTGTAGAACCACAGGAAGCTCCCAAATCCGTGCACTGCCACTGTGGGTTCTGCGTCAGGCCTTTGCGTCCTTCTGTGCATTGTGTTCTCAAACTTCTGTGAGCTTAAAGAGGCTACCTTTGGGATGTGTCCGCAGACTCACCCCACAGTCCCAGGAAGAGGCAGATACTGAGTCTCTCCTGGCCCTCAAAGGCTCTCAGATTCACCCTTTTTACACTGTCACCACTGACTTCCATACTGCTCCTGTCCTGGGGAATTCATCCTAACAGTTTTGCCCTGTCCATGGCCCTGGAGATCCAGGTTGCTGTCAGGGGATCACGTTGGTTTTGCGGTTGATCAGGTAACACCTGCTACTCCCGTGGAAGTGGTTTTGCGGACGGATAGAAATACCTCCCGTGAGAACCCCAGGGTTAGCTTAGCATGACACTTGATACAGAAGTCCGACTGTAGTCATTGTTAGTTGGCATTGACGCCAACATCGGAGCAAATGCCAGGAGAGGCGGTGGAGCTGCTAACCCTGCCAGGAGAGGCCTGCTCTGTGCCTGCTGCGTCCACGAGCGTGTGTGACCGTGGGATCCCCTGGCCCCAGATGCTGTGCTGAATTCTGTTCTTTCTCCCCCTCCCGCAGAGAGAAGACACAGTTCAATGTGCAGGCCTTCTCCCTCTCCGGCGTCTCCAGCCTCCAATGCCCGGACATCGTTAGCACAGGCAAAGACGAAAGCCTGTCTCAGCGGCCATAACGCTGTCAGCAGCACCTCTAAGCCATTTAAAACGCCCAAAGACAATCTACTTACCTCCAGCAGCAAACAGCACACAGTCTTCTCTGCAAAGGGGCCAAGGGATAAACCATGGTGAGTCGGGGTGTCGGGTGCCGAGACTGTCTGGCCCACGCTCTGGGCCCTGGGGACCGAGGAAGGAACTCAGAACGGTGACGCACGGAAGCTAGACTAGACTGTAGTAACTAGAGAGGGAGCATGGGACCTTGAAAGTGTTGTCTGCTTGGACAGAGGAATATTTGTACACTTGAGAGCTGAGCTGTACTGTGTCTAAGGCAAAGGAAAGAGGGAAAGATTCCTCAGTTACATGGTTGCCTCTCGATTTTCTGCCCCAGTGAAGAGAACCGCCGGTGTAAACCACCCGTGCACAAGCTGTCATGGGGAAAGAGGGAGGCTGATGGTGCCCCAGCCCTGGAAGCAGAATCCCCACCCCCACAGGGCCTCTGTTCCCAGCCCCCCAAGGACAGTGCGAATCTTAGAAAGGGAGGAGGGGGGGGAAGGAAAAATAGAGAGAAAATTGTGCTTCTGATGGGGAGCCTTTACCAAAAAGCCACGAAAGGTTCCCCCTGGACTAGACAAGTTGGAAACCGTCCTGAAAATATGAAGGATGGACACAGAACCCTTGGCCTGGCTTGTCACAGGGCCATCCACTTTATCTTCATCCTGAAGACGGAGAAGGGACAAGTGTGGAGTGTGTCTCATTTATATATTTAAAGAGAAACGGTGTTCGTTAATTAACAGTGGTTAATTGCACTTAGCGTCCTACCCAGCAAAGCTGTGGAACAGTCATCCATCAATCGGGTGGTGGCTGTGCGCTGGAAATTTTGAAACTTGTAAGGAGCTAATTATGCCACATCAGTGAAGGAGCCTCAGGTGATGGGGGAGGGGAGATGGGAAGGGGAGCCTGGCTGCATGCCACCCTGTCTCAGGAACTGGCTGTGTTCTCTGCAGGCTGCTGGAGGGAGCGAACTTAGATCTGTCCTGGGTAGGGGACAGTTGCTTAGGAGAGACCTGGTCGGAGAGTGACAGTTGGTGGCCTCTGACCAGCTTGTGGCCATGTCCCCCCCTCCCAGGCCCTCCTCCCAACGCCCCCAGAGAGCAGTGGGCTCCTCTGCTGAGGGAGTACCGAGCAGGTGTCTCTGCTGAGTGACCTTGAGTGTCCTTTCAACGTCTGGTGCCTCAGTTTCTGGTGCTGTAGCATGAGTTTAGTTATAGGCAGCTCTGCCCCGTGCGAGGACCCAGTGAGCGTCTTTGTACACAGCAGCAAACACAATGTTATTTCATTCCTGCCTAAGTCTCCTCACCTGGGATTAAGATCGTGGAGTTCATCCAGCTGCAGAATCGGAGAAATGGCTCTTCAGAGTCAGGCACAGCAGTGGTCGTGTATGATCCCAGCATTTGTGGGCCGAGGCTAGAGGACTGTTGGGGGGGGTGTTCAGGGGCTATCCTAGATTATGTAGTGAGACCCTATGGAAAAAAACAAAAAGACAGAGATCCAAGGGAAACATGAAAATGGTAAAATAATTTATTTGGGCTGAGGGGGTGTTACTTGGTTGTAAAGCATTGACCTAGCACAAGTGGGGTCCCCAGGCACTGCAGAAGCAAATAGAGAAGAGTTTCTGGGTCTGGGGATGCCCTACGGACAAACGTAAGGAAGGCAAGGCTCCCCACCTCCTCCGTGAGATAAGTGAGCCCACCTTTCGAAGGGACCGCTGAGACTGCTGAGTTAGCTCAGTTTCCCCGTCCAGCATAGTCGACCCTCTCAACACACCGGGACCTGCCAGGGCGTTGGGCACCTTCAGCTAGGGGCAGGAAGTGCTGTGAAGGAACTGGCCGAAGGTGTCAGTCAAGGGAGCAGAACTGGCAGCAAGGGTGTGCGCCACAGAGTTGCTCCACTAGCATGAGCTGTGTGGTTCAATGACAGCCGTCCTACACCCTGCAGAGGCTGCAAATCCAGCAGCTTCTCAGTCTGAAAGGCTGGAGGCCTCAGCAGCCCCAGCCTCGCACCGGAGGCCTGGGGAGTTCACGGAGAGAGCCACCAGTCTTCAGGAGACATGGGAAGGCGGGAGAAACTGGGTTCCCATGTTGGTGGAAGATGACAGCCATAGTTGACAGGGGCAGAGAAGACACACCCACCAGAAGGGGCAAAGGTGAGCGGGCTGAAAACAACAGGTAATGAGCGACGTTGCCAGGTATGGCCTGGAAGGAACCCAGCCCTGAACTAGAGGCAAGAAAAGTGAGTTCGAAGCCAGGCTCTACCCTGGACTTTCTGTGTGTCCTCAAGGAAGTCAGTTGACATCCCTGTGTCTCATTTGAAGCCCGAATTCTAAATCACAGCCCTCTCAAGCTCCCCATTGCCTGCTAAGTCTGAGTGAGCACAAAACGGGCAGTAACTCACTGAGGCTTCTCCCAGCCCCCTAAGTAGGTATATTAAATGCACGTTGGGACTGGAGAGATGGCTCAGCAGCTAAAAGCACTGGTTGCTTTCCAAAGGAGCCAAATTTAATTCCCAGCAACCATGTATCAGCTAACAATCAGCGGATCTGATGCCCTCTCCTGGCTTCTGCGGGCACTAGGCCGGCACATGGTACACAGAGACACCCACCCACATAAAGTAAAATTTAAACATGTATGGTGGCTTTCGAACCTTTTTTCTTACATAGCAGCTGAAAGTTGCCTTAGCCCTGGTATGCTGGGGAAAGGCTGAGGCGTGGCTTCATCTGGTGGCCTCTTTTGAGTCCTCAGCCCTCCTTTTCTGTTCATATTTAGCACTGGGTCCCGAAAGGCTACCTCACACAGTTGTCCAGGTTGTGAACCTGCATCAGCATGGCTAGGGGTGAAGATTGTCAGTCTGTTGGGACCCTGAACTTTGTTCCCAGCATGTATGAAGCTCTATATGTAACATTAGTGGGACCTGTGCACCCCCAGTTCTTCTTATAGTGGCTACATAGTTTTTATTCTAGGTGCCCATTAAAAATTGCGTAAAGAGAGAGACATGCTCTAGTGCCAGGGGAAGAGAGAGCAGGGGGAACCGGGGTCATCAGAACTGAAAGAGGGAGTTTGGGTCCAGCTTACAGAGGGTCTCTGTGTTGGTGGTAGGGCTCACTCTTAATTTAGTAGGCAATAAGGAAGTTGAGAAATTCTGAGAAGGGTGTGGTTTAGAATCACAAACTTCACCAACTATTTAACCTTGAAAATGAGATCATACCTGCTGAGTGACTAGCTCAAAGTCACACACACGATCCGTGCAGAGTCTGGCTTTGAACTTGCTTTTCTTTCTGGAGAGCTGAGTTCAGATTCCCCTCACCCACATAAGAAAACGGTGGTACCGGACTGAAATCTCAAGGTCCAAATCAGGAGCAGAAGGAGAGAGAGCACAAGCAAGGAACTCAGGACCGCGAGGGGGGCACCCACACACTGAGACAATGGGGATGTTCTATCGGGAACTCACCGAGGCCAGCTGGCCTGGGTCTGAAAAAGCCTGGGTTAAAACCGGTCTCGCTGAACATAGCGGACAATGAGGACTACTGAGACCTCAAGAACAATGGGTTTTTGATCCTACTGCACGTCTTTGTGGGAGCCTAGGCAGTTTGGATGCTCACCTCACTAGACCTGGATGGAGGTGGGTGGTCCTTGGACTTCCCACAGGGCAGGGAACCCTGATTGCTCTTTGGGCTGACGAGGGAGGGGGACTTGATTGGGGCAGGGGGAGGGAAAGGGGAGGCAGTGGTAGGAAAGAGACAGAAATCTTTAATAATTAAATAAAAAATAAATAAAATAAAATAAAATAAAAAGAAAAGGGTGGTAGCAGGGGCCTGGGGGTGACTCTATTGTAAAAGGCCTGACCCACAAACACGAGGACCCGAGTTCACATTCCCAGAGCTCACATGCAAGTCAGGGACAGCAGTGTGTTTCTGGCGACGGGCTGACGGGATGGACAGGCAGACCCCTGAAACCCGCTGACCAGCCAATCTAGTCAAACCAATGAGCGTCTGTTTCTCTAAGAAGCCCATCTCAAAAACTACATTGGAAGTCAGTCAAGGAAGACACTCAGCTCCGCGCTCTGTGTCTGTGTACACTCGCAAACACATGTACACATTCACACAAACACACAAACATACCACACACATGCACACATACACAAGAAAAAAATGACCTTCTCAGATCATGTCAATCAGTTTAATTTGGGCAAAGTCTCTAAAAGAAGGAGCCTACTTTATGTATGGTCAGTGGTGGGTCTGATTCGTTGCAGCAGCCCAGTGCCGAGGCCCAGCACCCTAAGGGAATAGTGTACCACATATGCATAGCCCGGGGAATGCTCCAAATTCCAAGTTTGGTTTCTAGGCTGGCGGTGCGGCTCCATGGTAGAGCTCGTGCCTCCCATGCGTAGGGGCCCAGGTGGAGCAGACCATGTAGAGATGACCTGGAGAATGAAAAGAATAGTCTTCAGCTGCATAGTCTCCCTGGCAGCATCAAGGAAGACTAGAGGAGTATTCTCGAAGCATTGAGAGAAGTGAGGGTATTTTTACACAGTCCAGGTGAGGTATGGAGAGGGCCTAGACTCCAGGAAGGAGTGGTGGCACCCTGAAGGCTTAGCATGGGTGCCTTTGGAGAGGTCTGAGACATACCTGCAAAGAAGTATCATCCTGGCGTTCAGGAGAGAGGTTGGGGTGGAACAGAAGTTGAGATTCGTTCTTGAAGACAGGACATTGACATCATGGTATAGATGGAACCTCCCGGAAAGGAGTGTGGCATGCGAAGAACAAAGGGCAAAGGCGGGCCCTTTAGAACGGGACAGGAAGAGGAGCCCTGGGAACAGGGACTGCTCATCCCGCTGTTCCTTGTCTGCATCCCGCATCCCCCCCCATCTTCCTGGTCCAAATCGTCACCATTCTTAACGCCCCATTTCACTGGTCACCTTGTTCTCAGTTCTTCCTCATTTACTTCCTCCTAGCCAACAACCCGATACCCTGGCACCCTGCTCTCAGCCTGTGGCATCTCGTCTTTGCCTGTGATGTCCTCTCCCCACGATGCTCTCTGTGTCTGGTCCACGATACATTCTGTTTCCTTTGTTC